TACTTGGCTGCCTTGCTGTCCTCTATTGGCTGCAGCGTTTGTGGGTGGGTCCCGCTCTTTGGCTGCGTCTGTGGGTGGGTCCCGGTCTTTGGCGGCGTGCGCGGGTCCCAGTCGCTGACCAGGCACTGCGCCTGCTCGTAGTTGACGTGCGGGTGCCTCTGGCGGAGGCGCAGGCGCACCACGTTGTAGTCCACCTCGTGCCCGATCCTCTTGCAGTTGAGGCTGCGGGTGAGGTTCCTGTGCGTGGTGTGCAGATCCTCCAGGTTCTTCTCCACGTTGGAGATGTGGCGCTGCAGCTTGTCAGTGCCCTGGGCAGCGGGCGGGCCGGGTTGGGGGACCGCCCGAGAGGAGCCAGAAAAAGGGTAGGGGGTGGGGAGGAGGGAGGAGGAGGGCAGGCATATCTGGGCCAGATGTGCGTGTGAAAGGAGCAAGCGGAAGAAACGGTGGGCCTCGGAGGGGGGGTGGGGCACACCTGGGCCAGAAGAAAAATAACCAGCGGCAGGGCGGGGCTGAGAGAGGAGCCGGATCACGAGTGAGTGGGGCGGGTGCGGGGGACAGGGGTCAAGGGGACTCATTTGGGAGGTCGTTGAAGGACTGACCACTCGGGTGACAGGCTCTTCCCTGGGCCGTGTCCCTGGGGCAGAAGCCTTACCCGGGGGAACGAGAGGGGCGTACCTGGGTGAGGCGCGCGGCCTCCGGGAGCTGGGTGCCCACGTGTCTCTGGTACACGCGGACCAGGGGTCGGTCCAGTTTCTCCCGAGTCTCCAGGTGAGTTTTGGACAGAGGACCCTGGCGAAGGGCGGGGCGCGGAGCCGTGAGGCCCTCTGTGTGCGCGCATCCCCAGCGCCCCTCCCCGGCCTCCTCCCCGCAGACCCTGCGCCCCCAAACCGCACCTTGATGAGGCCGCGGGTGATGTACATCTCCTGGTTGAATTTCGTGCACCGGTGGATAGTCCCCCTCATCAGTCCTACGGTCATGTTCATTCTTTCCTGGTGGGTGGGAGCGCAGGGGGGCGGGTCATGCCGGCTCCCCTTCCGCTGTCTTCCCGTGCCCCGCTCTGGGCCTTGGTCCTCTCCCACCCTCGCCCCAAGCCACCACCTCCGAGCTGCACCTTCAGCTCCGTGGTCTCGCGCATCTTTTGGGCCAGCGAGGAGCACACGCCATCGCTTATCTGCAGCTGTTGCTCCCGGATTTCCTCCTCATTCTTGGCCATTTCTTGTAAGGCGTCCTTGGACTCCATCAGCAGGCGCTTGGCGTCGTTCAGCACCGCGGCGCACTCTGCAGGAGGGTGGGACCAGCCTGGGTGCCAAGTCCTCCTCCCCCCTCCGGCCCCTTTTGTTTGTTTATTTTGTTGTTGTTGTTGTTGTTAATCCTCACCCGTGGATAGTTTTCCATT